CTACTTCTCTAACCCAGGCAGATGGAAGAGTACTGAATTACTGAACAACACACTATGCCTTTTCTCCCACGGAGATAAAAGTGCTTAATGAGGAACCGCTACGAGCAAAGCCAGATGGGGAAACTAAGGCACCGGGAGGTTAGGAACTTGTCACAAAGAAAGAGCTGTCAAGCACATCTCCTGGCACCCAGCCCAGAGCTCTGTCCCCCCGAATCCTGACTTAATCCCACTATTGGAATAAAGCTGTGCAGAAGTAGAGGAGACAAGTATCTATTACTGAGTCCCAAAGGACAATGGATTAAAGATGGACCCAAACAGGGCGCCTGGGTGGCTCAGATGGTTAAGCGTCTGCCTTCGGCTCAGGTCATGATCCCAGGGTCCTGGGATCGAGTCCCACGTCGGGCTCCCTGCTCCTTGGGAGCCTGCTTCTCCCTCTGCCTCTCTCTCTGTCTTTCATGAATAAATAAATAAAATCTTTTTTTTTAAGATTTTATTTATTTATTTGAGAGAGAGAATGAGATAGAGAGAGAGAGCATGAGATGGGGGAGGGTCCAAGGGAGAAGCAGACACCCTGCTGAGCAGGGAGCCCGATGCGGGACTCGATCCCGGGACTCCAGGATCATGACCTGAGCCGAAGGCAGTCGCTTAACTAACTGAGCCACCCAGGCGCCCTAAATAAATAAAATCTTAAAAAAAAAAAAAAGATGGACCCAAACAGCCAGGTTAGGGAAGCATGCCACAGACTTTACTGAAAAAACAACAAACAAAAAACACCAAAAACTGGGTGTCAAAGACAGTGCCCATCCCTGATGTCAACGACATTTCAGGCCTCAAGATCTATTTTCTTACTAAAGAAACTTGGTTTATCCATGGAGGCATCCAGGCAAACCAGAAGAAGAAAAAACACTGAAGGCACTGCTTTGGAAAAAGCACTTTTTAGCAGCAATCTTTACCCTGCCCTAGCTTTGCTCTCTAGTAGAAGAGTCAGACACAACCAAACAGGCGGATATATATGCTGGGGAAATGAAAAGGACCTATATCCAGGTTAAGGAAACTAGGTATTGGACGAAAACCAAATGAATAAAACTAGGTCAAATTTGGGACCTACAATTGTGGCAGCATGTATATAAATTTAGAAACAGCCAAAACTAGCAGCTTCTCTCTCAGTCCCTCACACCAACGCTGTGGTTTTCTGCTAGAGCTGAGAAAATATTTCTCATGAAAAAAGAAAATGAGAATGAGCTCTCACATGTAGTGATGAACCCATAGTCACACGCACCCACCAGTATTAAAATCGAAAATTTTCTCCAGATCTTGGGAAATTCAACTTTGGCTGCAACAGTCAACTTTGCAGTATCAGCCTGTGCAGCCAGCTGGGAACTCTGGTAATTGTGCTCACTGCCCCCAGAACACCCCACTCCCCTGAGAGGTGGACATATTTGTAACATCCTCAGCAGAAAGCTGGCTTTCAAAATAAAGCCAGTCTCGCTGTCTCCTTTCTCTGGCTATGGTGCTAAGTGTGGTACTTGAATTCTTGCCCCCCTCAATACCCTCATCCTTTTTTTTTTTAAGATAGATTTTTTTTTTATTTTTAAGGATTTTATTTATTTATTTGACAGAGGGAGATAGCGAGAGCAGGAGCATAAGCAGGGGGAGCAGCAAGCAGAGGCAGAAGCAGGCTTCCCGCTGAGCAGAGAGCCCGATGCGGGGCTCGATCACCCTGAGATCATGACCTGAGCCAAAGGCAGACGCTTAACTGACTGAGCCACCCAGGCGCCCCACGTCTTTTTTTTTTTTTTTTAAGGTTTTATTTATTGATTTGAGAGAGAGAGCACAAGCAGGGGGGAACGGCAGAGGGAGAGGGAGAAGCAGGCTCCCTGATGAGCAGGGAGCCCAACACGGGGTTCGGTCCCAGGACTCAGGGATCATAACTGAGCCAAAGGCAGATGCTTAACTGACTGAGCCACCCAGGTGCCCCAATACCCTCGTCCTTTAAACAAAGAATATTTCTTCTTTTCATCATCATACCTCAACATGAGTTCCCATCACTGTCCAGCCCATGCTAAGCTTTATTTTACTTCTCAGCACTTATAATCACCGGCAATTATATATTTAATGATTGATTTAAGGTCCATGGCTTCCACTATGGTGTAAGCTACATGCAGATGGGTACAATTTTGTGCACTGCCATATCTCCAGTGCCTAAGACCGTGTCTGGAGCTTGAGAGACACTCAATAAATATATGTTGACAGATTGACTGAATGAAAGTAGAGCCTCTTGGCCTACCGTGATTTTCACTTCCCAGTACCACGAAATCCTAATCTGTGGGCAATCAACCATGCAGATTTAAGATGTTACTTGGTCTATGTGTCACCCTGAGCCATGCCCCTCCATAGCCTGCTGAACTGTGTGTGCTCCCCCTTTACTCTGCAGCCAGCAGTAAGCCACCCTCACCTCACACCCTCTGTTTACGGCCCACCCGCCGGCTCCCAGACTTTCCCAAGGTCCATCAGAGGACACAGGCAATACTTTGTGAAGACCCTTTTATAAGGTTCCTATGCCTTGCCCTACTTAGCTCATGCTAATTAGAACTTCAATTAGCACATGAGAAGTACCACTAGAACGTAGGCAGACAAACACAGCCAGGGAAACTACAGCTTTCTTCTAGAGTTTCCTCTGGTATTTCTCTCCTTATAATGTCAACATGCCTTCAGTTCAGCTTCATTTAGTGGCCCGGCCTTTTGATCCTTCACTAAAGACGAACAATAATGAGCATGGGGAAAAAGTGGTCAAGTTCTGTAAACTGTGCCCTGATATTTAAGGAGTTAACTGTTCTAGCAAAAGAAATCAGGTTTTTAATGTGTGCCAGATCCCTTGACCCTCCTTTTGTCCTGATTGAGGGATATTCATTATAGAAGGGAAATGTTATCTATGGGATACTTCAAACCAAGATCTATAAAATAATAATAATAGTGTCAGCCCTCCCATTTAGTCAGTGTTTTATCTTTTGTGCTGTGCAGCTAACCATGGGGATGAATTAACACTGTTTCCAAGCATTTTCTTCCTAGGACCTAGACTCTGATATGCCATCAATTTTATCCCCCTGCTCCCAGACTCTGGGAGCAATAATCAGATTTTCCTCGTCATAACAGGATCCTCAGGAATCTGTTCTTTCTCTTTCTGCTATAAACAGTCCTAAACTTTGCTCCTTTTCTCCTCAGAGTATTTGTCCCAGTCTCAGTTCTACCCTTTTGCTTTATTTAAGTCTCTACCTTTTGACACATTCCTGTTTGGGTTCTAATCATTGTCCCAAGAGCCATAATAGCTTTTACTTGGGCCGAAGTCGTAACACACAGTGAGGTTGATCAGAACACAGAAGTTTGGCAAAGGAGGTAAAAATCTCGTAGAGAGATAATCCTACACTGTATCTTAGGAGACCTGGATCTTCATTTCTGGTCTGACGTGATCATAACTAATATCCAATAACAAATGCTGAAAATAGCAAACCCCATATGGCACTGGTAAACCTCTCTTTGCTTCTGTTCTCCCATCTGTCATGTAAGAACAATACTGCTCCCTCCTTGGCTCCTAAAGGTGTAAGAAGAAACAAGGAAAGCACCTCTTGTTAAATACAAAACCAACCAACCAGACAAACCAACATGTTAAAACAATACTAAAGTCAAAATAAATCTCTTGATGAACTTATACAGAATAGAGATACAGGGTTGGTAGCGAATGTTAATCAGGCATCTAACCAAATAATTCCCTACAGGGAAAAAGAACCTTACTCTATCACCAGAAATCTGGCCTAGAACTGTGGCTCTAAATTAGCTCAGGCATGACCAAATACAGTGCCAGTGCCAAGTGTAGCATTGCAGATTATACAACAAAACTCCCCCAAATCTAGAAAGAGCTGCCAGATGCTACTACCAGGACCAAGCCATGGCAACAAGAAGCTTAAAGGTGTAAACTATTACACTTAAGGATGGCTCATCCAGATCCCCAAACCTTTGGAAAAGTTAAGCTCTCTAACACGGTAACCCATCAGCTCTCATCTCTTAAGATTTGTAAGAAATCTACCTCTGGGTTACACTCCAAAGCCCTGCAACATTAGGACCTGCACCCGAACGCTGGAACAGGGCTCCTTAACCTGTCACAATCTCTATGCTGTCAGCCTGGGTTAACTTACCTATTTTAAATTGGTTTCTCTATCTCACACTCTAGGATGGGCACAAGCCAGAAGAAGTACACCTTCATCTAGAGCCCAGTTTACTCTACCCCTTTCCTATTTGCCCCTCAGCTACATACACTTCCCTTTCAAGGTGTGTGTCATTCTCCGGCCCTTTAAATCTTAACCCCCCCCCCGTTCCCTTCAACTCTCCCCCACTTTCGGTTCGGTTCGTTTTGCCTCCCTTCCCTTCGGGAGTTTCTCCCTTCTTCCCCGGTGCCCTTCCTTTCCCCTGCAACGCGACTCCAATCGCGTCTTGTCTCCTCTGCCAAATTCCTTTCCCCATGACGGCTCTGCAGCAGAAGACCCTCTCAGCGCATCAGGGGCGTCCCCAGGCCTCCCCGCCGCCCCTACCTCGGCTCCGTTCCCTTCGCCCCGGATCCCCGCTGTCCCCAACGCCGATACTCCGCAGCCCCTTCCCGGTCCTCCCCCCCCTCCCACCCCGCGCCAGTCCACTCACAGGAGGCCGGAGCAGGTGGTGCAGACGAAGCTGCCCACGGTGATATCCACGTAGGTGACCCCGCGCTGGGCGCACTCGAAGCAGTGGCGGTTCCCCGCCTGGCTGCAGCCGCCCAGCTCCCGCACCCGGCGACACCACACCTCCGAGGCCGCCTCCGCCTCCGCCTTGCCCCCGCTGACCCCGCCACCCGGGCCTGGACCCTTCTTCGCCGCCATCACCATGGTTGCCCGCTCCCTCGGACCTCCTCCCCGCAAGTCAGCAATTGTCCCTTCAACCACAGCCGCCTTCCCGCCTCCTCTGCCTCCTCCGCACGCCGGGCTCCCCTGACAGAAGCTAGGAAGCCGGCGACGTCCGCGAGAGACTCCTCAACCCCTTGCCTTGCCTATTCTGCACGCTGATTGGTTAGTCTCCTCCCACCTCCCCACTCTGATTGGCTCGACATTGGACGGCCTTGGGTTGCGGGAGCCGCCAATGCCACGCCCCACCGCCTTCACCCTCAGGCCTCTCCCATTGGCCCGCAGAGACACTGCCGCGAGAACTGTGCGTGCCCTCTCCCTGTCCCCGCCCCCTCTCGCCACTGCCTCCATGGCGGCCCGCCTCCCAGATTCGATTGGTGAGTCCTCGGAACACGGGCTCCGACGCTAACTCTGATTGGCTGTCTGGGCTGCAAAGTTAGCGCGCGAGAAAGAGTAGGTGTCTCGCGCGTGCGCAGCCCTTGTCCTCCTGAATGATGACGTTAATTCCCGCCAAATTTCAAAGGCCCAGTCTTCGCTAGACTGTGCAGAGAGGTACGAAAAGCAGAAGAGAGGTGGCCACAGGAGGGACGGGGCGGGGGGAAGAGGGAAAGAAGGGAGCTCAGAGGAAGGGAGGAAGGAGAGGGAGTGCTTTATAAATGCTATTTCGTTTACTCCTACCCTATGCCACAGGAAATTTCATTCTAGAGAGAGTTTAGGTTATACGACTTGTGGTAGGTCACACCACGGGTACATGGCTCAGCCAGGATTCTGATGTGGGTCGTCTGACTTTAGAAACCCTGCTTTTAACCACCACACTATCCGTGGAATAGTATTTGACAAACACGTGTTGAATTTCTAATTGGTTTCAGGCACTGTTCTAGAGAGGGGAAGTCCAGCAGTAAACCAAACAGTCAAAAAGTCCTATCCTCGGGGGCGCCTGGGTGGCTCAGTTGGTTAAGCGACTGCCTT